AGAAAAAATATATTAATACAATTTATACATTATATATTTTCTACAGTTAAATACATTATAAAGAACAATCACTAGTGTTCACTTGTTTCATAAAGTGATAGATACTCTATTTTATGTAAATTATGAAAAATATTTGTCAATATAATGTAGTATTTCAAAAGCAACTTCAACCATAATAAGAACAATAATCATCCACTCTAAACGAATATGATGCCGATCACTTAAATGTGCAGATAAAATACTCACAAGCTCCACACAATGATTTAATTTTTCATTTATAACCTATAAAACAAAATCAAGTATATATTTGCACATTACATAAAGTTTTATGTTACTAAGGTAAATCGAAAATTTGTGGTATAACTTACTCTTGTACGTTTTGCGATATTAAAATATGAACAAGTCTCTTGATAAACACGTTCTAAATCATCCATATCCCAATAGAAATCAGGACTATCTAATAAATCTGAACTTAAATTAATTGAATGCCGTAATGCAAATAATTCCCCTTGTTTTCTTAATACTTCAGACTTAGTCATTCTAAGTTTTCTTCCAGCTTTCAAATCCTCAGTAACAAATTCTATGGAATCTATATAATTATTTAAAGATGCTTCCCATATACCTAATTTCACTGATTGTGCCATTGCATTTGAAAATGTATACTTATCTAAATTTGTTGCATTTAAAGTTAACATGATATTACCATTCCTTATATGACTTCTTTTTCTGTAAAATATTTAAAGTGAATCAGAATTTGATAAACATTACTTTTATACTTATACAATGAAATAGTTGCAAAACTGATGATACATTTAAGTTTATCTTTAAATCATACTATTACCCATTATCTGCATAACTATAATTCATGCATTCACTCTCAGATTGTGTAATATGTTCCATGTAACAATTTTGTTCATATTTTTTTAGAAAGTATAATATATTTTCACATTCAAATTCAGAGATGTTCCACATTACTATAGTACCTTCTCGGAAAAAAAAAATTTCTCTCGGTTCATGTCCTACTTCATATTTTGCCACAGCATGTATAACATCTGGTAAAGCTGCAAAAATAATCTAAATTAAGTACAACAAACTAATGTATACATGTGTGATATAAGATAATGTTTGTTATATTGTTTATATTAAGCTATTATTTATATTGACAATAAAGTAATTAAACAATGTATATAAAAATATATAAAGAAATTCTATACAATTGTATTCAAAAGTATTGTACAAGACTTCCAGTATTTATGACATCAGTAGCATTAATAACTTTTTTGTAATTAAGGTTTTGGTTAGATATTGTAATCCTAACATGTACCTCAACTTCAGTTATTTCAATTTAACATCAAATTCACATTAATGTTAATTATTTCTCACTATCTATATTCACAAGTTTACTATAATGTAACACATGCAATAATATGTTGTTATAAATACTTATTATAATTATTTATTTAAAACAATTTAATGATAGTACTATTTCATGTAATTAAAGATAAAAGGTATAAATTATTCCAAACACACTTACACTTAAGATATTTATTTCGAGACATATATTATTCAAAAAAATAAGAATAGTACATATTATTAGTACATAAAAACATAAAACCCATTGTAGAAAAGCTAATTTTATATAAAATTGGAAAGAGAAATGCGGAAATATTTAAATATTTTATAAATATAACTTCTTTTTAACAATGTGAAACTATAACATATATGTTATACAAATTAATTGATTTTAGCCTTAGGTAATAATGTTGTGATAATTCTTCAATATATCTTTACAATAAAAGAAAGCTTCTTCCCATATGTAATATTATTTTATATATGTATATTATGAAAATGTTATTCAAATTTGTTTTCTAATCTATTAGAAATGGACTGTCACATGCACCTAAACCTGTTGCAACACCACCTTCATTAGCAGTAGCTAATTTTGTTCGTAACATATGACCACTTTGCTTATTAACAAATATGTTTTTTTCATCTGCAATTATAACACCAAATATTCCTAATTCAGAAACTAATTCTTGGAGTTCTGCATTCATATTATCATCAGGTCTAATTATGTAACTTCTATGAATCGGAGGATGAATTTTGTCCATAAGAATCCAAGCTACTCTATCTTGCTTATCCTTTACAGACTCTAGAAAATGTTTTATATCTAATCCATATTTGTTATTGCAACCTCCTTCCCGTTGAGGTTTTAATACAAAACGATGTGGATCAGCAATTCCCATTTCTATAGCAGCATCTCCATGTTCATTAAAGTCTAATCCATAAAGCTCTATATAAAATAATATAATATGGTATCAATTCTTATTTTACCAAAATAACATTATCAAAATAATTCACTTACCAGTGAATATTTCTCTTATTTCTGCACAT